CCCGCACAGCCGCTCGCTCCGTCCCCCGGGTGGGACTGGGGAGGGAATCGGGAGCGTAAAAGTGGGTTGAGAGAAAGAGTTTAACAGGTAAAGCAAAAGCCCACACGCAAGCAAAGGGAATCCATCCCCCATGTCCCCTGCTCAGCCCTAAGGAGAACTTCCCTGGGGTGCCGGCGCTGTTCCCAGCCCAAAGCCAAGCCACAGCCCCCAGGCCAGCTGCGAGGAAGAAGATCAAAAACCAGCCCACCGGGATGTGCCGGGAGCTGGTTTAGAGGCCTCAGCCCAGCGGTTGTCACACACTTGCAGGCAGGTCATTTTCACTTGGGTTCGTTATGATTCATGTAATTTTCTGTCCTCCCCTCATCCCCGCAGCGCCTGACCAAACACACCAAGTTCGTGCGAGACATGATCAGGGAGGTCTGTGGGTTCGCACCCTACGAGAGACGGGCCATGGAGCTGCTGAAAGTTTCCAAAGATAAACGTGCTCTGAAGTTCATAAAGAAGCGGGTAGGTCAATCCGACATCGTAACGAGGGTGCCAAAAACTGTTTTCTGCAGAAACTTTGTTTTCTGCCCTTTTCGGTAATTCTCTTACTGTTCTCTGTTGTTTTGGGAAGTTCCTGGTCTAATGTGAGGGATTGGAGGGAACGCTCCTTGGGTTGGGTGGGAGAGCTGAAGAGCCAAAAGGAGCCTGAGGTACCAGAATCCTGACTTGCCTTCCTCTTCTTGTGCTACTCGCACACCTGGTGCGGGGCAGAGGAGAGCAGGACCTGATGGAGGATGGTGCCACTGACTGGGCCACCTGGAGCGGGGTTTGTCACAGGATCAGAGCGGAAAGCAGCTTCGGCCTTGCCCCAGACAGGGTGGGAGGGCGAGTCCTGCCTGGCTGGGGGTCGAGTCCGTGTTTACCAGGACTTCACCCCTTGCCTGCTGCGGCCCAAAAGTGTCCTGGGTTGCCTGCTGGGATGAACACCAACCCTCTGCTCTCTGTCCTGCAGGTTGGCACCCACATTCGGGCCAAGCGAAAGCGGGAAGAGCTCAGCAACGTCCTGGCGGCCATGAGGAAAGCTGCTGCAAAGAAGGATTGAGTTGTACAACCTGGAACGCAATAAAGTCCTTTCTCACAAAAGCAGTGTCCTGGCTGTTGATCCGCCTGCCTCAGCCTGTGGCAGTGAGCGCTGGCAGGGCCCTGAGCTGCAGGAACCCACAACTTGCTTCCCTGTTTTTATTTTACCCCCAGCTGGAGATGCTGGCACTGGCCCAGGATATGTGTTGGAAGGGGAATCCTCCTCCTCCAGCCCTGGGAGCCTTCTGCAGGGTGTGGGAGTGTCCACAGAAGCCTGTGACACCTTCCATGTCCCTGTCTGTCTCCAAACCCGGGTGTTGGTAGGAGAGAAGTTGATGAAGAGAAACTGCTGTTGAAAATACGGACTTTGCGCTCCTTCCGCGCAGCACTTCAGCCTGTTGCTGTGCAGCTTTGCTCACCCTGCTTTCCGTGGTGCAGCCAGTAAGAGCTCCTGGAATTCCAGCAGGATGACTTTATTCCCCACTAAGGGCCCCACTTGCTGTGAGGCACGACAAGTGTGGTTCTGCCTGCACAAGGAAATAATATATTTCAACTAGACTTTGTGTAACTACTCTTCCCCTGTTTAAAGTGTTTTTTTAGCATTTGCTAGAATCACAGAATCACAGACTGGCCTAGGCTGGAAGGGACCTTACAGATCATTCAATCCAACCTGCCTGTCGTGGGCAGGGACGCCTCTCAGCTACATCAGGCAACACCTGGGGACCGAACGGGGATCTATAAGATAAAGTACTCGAGTTCTCTGGCCCAAACCTGTGTTCACTGATGTGCAACAGTCATGCCAAGACACTGAATTCTTTTTTTTCACTCAGGGAACACGACACAGCTGCAGCGGCAAAGTGCTCTTTTGTCCAGGTCCGCTCTCTTTAAGCTTGGAATTGTTTCTGGTGGTGCCCACCCCTGATGCAGTCTGGAGAACCAGAGCCCGCTAGCTTTGCTGAACTGTCCTAGATTTTCAGCTTCCCCTTCAGCTTCGCTCAGGCTTATCGTCCCAAGAGACGTTTCTGAGAGCTGCCCATCACTACATCACACAAACACTGTGACGCGTAGGCCCAGCTCGTGTTTGTACAGTTAAATGTTTTTCTATACAATTACAGCGACAAAACTGAGAAATCTTTAACTGGCAGAGATGGGGCTGGCTCCACTGCTGGTGACTGATAACAGGCGCAGTCCTCAGGTAAAATTTCACAATTTTATTGGAAATACTGAATGTAGATCATAATTCCATAATAAAGAATGAGAAATACTTTATTCTACCAAAGCCATAATTCATTTCAGCAGCTGCGCAGCAGCAATAGCTCCACGTCCCACTTCTGGATTGCCCCTGGGTCACCCCATTTTTGGGTGGGGGCCGAGCAGTTGGGTGTCTGAGGACAGACCACTTCCCAGCCATCAGGTCACTGAACGTCATCCTCCAGCAGAATCCAGCTTTGGAAAGGCTATATCATACACCTCCTTGTAGTGCTCAACAAAATGCACCTCTAGTCCTTCTGTAATGAACCCGGCAAGGTCGTAATAATCCTTTTTATTCTCTGATGGCAGGATGATGCAGGTAACGCCTGCCCGCTTCGCCTGGGGGGAAAAGAAAGTCACACAGGCTGCTGGAGTTCTAGAAACCCATCAGCCCACTGCAGACACTCCCATTTCAGAAAAGCAAGAACAAGAACAGCCATTCAGGACCGGGATCTGGCTTTCTGCTGTTGTTTGGAGAGCGGCAAGGACATTACTTGCCAAAAACGTCACTAAGGATGGATCTTGTTCTAGATCTGCCCAAGGCACCTTCTCGGCTGCAGGAACAGCTGAAGTGGGAGATATTTCAGTGGGGCTACGTCAGCACTTTGGGCGACTGTTTAGAACAATTCATATTATTTTACAGAGTTTTAGAAGTCTGTTCCAACTTGGGTGAGGTTTGTACCCGCTCATTTCACGGGGAATCCCGCATTAACCCTGCGCGGCCACTTGCGCTCCTGCAAGCGCAGCCAGAGAGAGTCACAGCCAGCCCCGCCGTGTCTTAGTCCTTCTGCAGAGACTACAGCCACACAAAATCACCCACGTTAGAGGAATTAAGAAATGTGTTTCCTCCCACACGAGGAAAGGGAATTGCATCGCACAAGGCTGTAGCTCCAGCAGGTTGTGGGACAGCGCGGTGCTGGGAAGCCCCACCTCAGCCGGCTGCTGAAAGAGCTAACGCCACTCCCGAACACAGCGAGCGCCACGCGTGGCTGACTTAGGAGAGAGATTCAATGCTTGGAAAAGAATTCTGAAAAATGCAAAGGGCTGAAACGAAAAACAATCTCCACTGTAAATGCAGTGCTTGCAAGAGTACTGCAGAAAATTTTTTCCTTAGTAGGCTATGTAGACTGAAAACAAGGGTTAAGTAATTGGATTATGATGTACAAAGAAACTGCACAGAGGGAAATGCAAGAAGACACTGGAAGTAAGTTCCTTCCATCTGAACCAGTAGAATAAAGGGATATCTGCAGGAAATTGTAAGTCAGACAAATTCAGGCTGGAAGCAGGGAACAGAGCCTTCACATTAAGGATGACACTTTACAGGTACCGGCAAATCTCTGCTGGACGTTGTCCTTCAACAGGCACTTCAGCCCAGCCCAGCTCACGGGACTGCACCAGTCTGAAGGAGAAGGCAGCTTACACAGCCAGACGGCACCTCCCAGCCTTCACCCTCCCGGTGCAGTAACGGGGACGCCCTGGCTCCAAGCCTGGGGCCCCATCTCCTTTCTCGCAGCCAGAGACACGGGCAAGACCCCACGCTCCCCCCGAAAGCTGCTCTGCAGCGTGTACGGAGCCTCCGCCGCTCCTGCTACCCAAGCGATCGCTCTGGGTGTCCCAGTCACCATCGAGCCTGAGCCAGGGCTCTCTCCCACCAGTGATGCCCGGAGACAAGAGAAGAGCTCTTACCGCAATTGTCTTCTCCTTGATTCCACCAACAGGAAGAATTTTTCCAGTTAATGACACCTCTCCAGTCATGGCCACGTTCTGCCTCACTGGACAATTCATGGCCAGTGACAGCAAAGCTGTTACTATGGTGCACCCTGCGCTTGGTCCGTCCTTCGGTGTTGCTCCCTGTTTCAAAAAACAAAAAAAATCCCACAGCCTTTAGCTCATTCAAAGAGTAGCAAAGCCAGCCTGCCCCTCTGCCACTGCTGTTTTAGCGGGGCCCTAATTTCACGGGGTCTCACAAAGGTTTTTGCGAGAAAGCGTTACTGATGGAATCCTGTTATTTGAATTGCTGGTGTAGTAACGTCAGTCCCGTTCATAAAGAATAACCCAGGAGTTTACAAGTTGGTTTCTGGCCCGATGCCACCACGACACTCAGCAGGTTCAGGACTTGGAATAAGCAACATGAGGAGAAAACCAGCATGAATCCTTTGAAGCTTTTTGTTGACTTAAGTCAACCACGGAAAGAAGTAACAGAGGCCAGCCAGACAAGGGAAGAGAGCATCAAGAGTCACCAAATAGTGGAGGACAATACTGAAAAACATTCAAAGCAGACAGATCAACCAGTTTAGAAAGCCTGACAAAATCAAGGCTTAAACTAGTGACAGTCTGGATTTATCTGAGATCAAACAGTGGTAGGAGCAGAACAAATGAAGATCTGAGAGGGAGGAGAGGCAGACTTAACATCTGATTTCCTCGAGGAAACGGATGCACAGAGAACACCCAAGGACCTGGACAGACTTGGAGCAAGCTGCAACAGGGAGACCGTGGACTAGGTTAAGGCAAAAGTAGTTCAGAAGCAAAGCTTGGGCACAATCAGACAATTTGTCTTCGGTAAAGCACCTGCCCAAAGCCCGTCACACAGCGTATGAGCCCCTCTGAGCACTGCACGCTCTCATTTTCAGTCCTAAATAGCGAAGAAACGCAATCACTGTCCTTACATGGGCTGGGAACCACGGCACAGAGACCAAGAGTAGTGGTTTCAATTATGTGTAAATGACCTGAAGCCTTTAGGAAGGCCTCGTAACACTGAGACTTTGGTTTCCTTGTGGCTACAGACAAGGTTTTTTCCACATCACTTCTCTCTAGGCCGTGGTTTCCCCACACGCACAACAGGGCCAACAGCTCCAACAGAGGCGTAGGATTCCTCACAGCATTAGCCAAGCCCCTGTGCTTGCTGCAGGAAGGAATGGGAACGTAGCTCTAAGAACACTTCCGCAGGATCCCAAGAGAAACATTTTCTGCTGTAGGTTCCAGTGCTGAAAGGGGACGTTCTGCACGACACAGGGACAAACGAAACGCTTTCCAGCTTCACGTCTAGAGGAGCAAACCCACCCGACTGCTACGCACGCTCTGTGAATCCTGCGTGACTTTACCTCTGGCACATGCAAGTGGATATGGGAAGACATGAGGAAGTCATTGCTGGGCTCCCTCTGCATGAGAAAGGCTCGTGCAAACGTGTAAGCGATTTTGGCGCTCTCTTTCATCACATCTCCCAGCTGCCCTGTTACTTCAAGGGACCCGTCCTTGTTCTCCTTGTCTTTGGGTCGCCTCAGGGATGTTTCAACAAACAGAGTGGAACCGCCTAAGAAAGAAAAGAAAAACAACATCCTGAGAAAAGTTCAAGTGGAAGCAGAAGGTTTTGGTGAGGCAGAAGCAATGTCTGGAGTTTGGGAGCGGTGCTCTCGGATGACACTCGCTCTTGGGTGAAGAGCCGTTGAAACCAGCTCTCCAAAGGCTAAAAATCCCAACAGCACCACACTGACAGCCCCCATTCATTGTTTCTTCCGACTTCACACTCCACAAAAACAGATGCAACCCCTATGGAGTAGAAGTAATAATTTCCTATAATGGTTTCAGGCTCTTCGTAGCCAAAAAGTAAAGTGAGCTCACACCATAACGCAGTTGTAGCCAGTTCAGCTTGTCAGTGTCCAACATCTATTCACTTTCTTGACCACACTGATCATTCCCTCTCAACTACTTCAATTCCACCCAGGGTCAAACAGAGATCATACCCTTTGATTTCCACCCTGTGGTGCACATAAGCCCCCAAGGTGTGAGGGGAGTAATGTGAGGAAGAGAACCCAACCAGCTGCACCCACCCCAACAGAGCGCGAGAGCACCCGTGTCTGTCCTTGGCACCAAGAGCCGAGTCAGCGGCGAGACATCGCTGCACAGACCCGGCCTCGGCTCTGCCCTGAGTCAGAACGGTGCCTCCTGCTTCTAAGGACGCAGACAAGAGTTTGTCCTCTCTGAAAAGTCATCGCTGTTCCTACTGAACGTTGCTCATATGGGATTTCGAGCACAGAGGGAAAACACGCTGGCCTGACGCTAAAATGAGGCTGGGTAAGGGAATAAACAAGTGTCTGTTCTTTGGGGAAGAAGGAGCAGGATCTAAAAGGCCACAGAAGTTAATTTTACTGGTGCCAGTAGAAGAACTTCACTGGAGTCATTAAGGAAAATTCAGTGTGACTATCACATTGGCTTTTTGAAAATGATACGGAAATGCAGATGTGAAGCCAAAAGACGTTTTGTCTCACCCATAGCTGTCCAGGCCAGACCCATCACCACCCCTGGTGGAGTGGTTTCATACATGCGATCCACAGTGAAGATGGGCTTTCCTACAAAATCCTGCAGGTTTTCAGGTGTTACTTGGACCGTCTCTGCTTCTCCACTCACAATCTTATAGGCAGATTTCCTCAATACCTGAGTGAGAAAGTAATTTGGTTTTGTAGAACCAGCTGGGAAGACTGAAGCACAGCAGCCACGGTCACACACAACTTCCCCTCACCTTTTCCACTTGTTTCTGCAGATTCCTCACCCCACTCTCCCTGCAGTACTGCTTGATGAGAACAGTCAGGACATCCGAGGTGATCTGGGCTTTCTGTTCATCCAAGCCACAAAGAACTCGTGCTTGAGGGACCAAGTACCTCTGAAAGGAATAATCACCCACATCCTTCTGTTAGTATTTGTGACAAAAGCCTGGGGGTTCCAATCCGCTCCATTCCGCTATTGGCCTGATGCCAGTTTCTGGAATCCACAGCCTATGGAACACTGCAGCTGCTTTCACCGTTCAAATCAGAGAAACTCTGTCCACAACACCACGTGTATAACTGATTTAGACACAGCTGGATGTAAATATATAAGCCTGAATGTGCCCCAAACGATTTTATCAGACTAATTCCCAGTACATCAGTGGTTTCTCTTACCTCTGCAATTGCAAGTTTCTCTTCTGCTACGTATCCCGATACGTTGATCACCTCCATTCTATCCCGCAGTGGCTCTGGAATGGTTTCCGTTACGTTGGCAGTACAAATAAAAAGTACCTGCAAGTATTACGAGATCCTATTAAGCATTTTCATTAATCTGTTGCTTTACTCCAAGCAAAGTTCCTCACTTCCGTGTTTCTCTGTTTGAAGGGCTGAAGCAAGATCATCTCCTCTGTTTTTTATTCTATTTTAATCTAGTTTTTTATTACAGGAAAAGTTTTGAACTTCAGAACTGTGTGGCAGGATGCTCCCTAACCCCAAAATAAATCATAGAATGGCCTAGGCCGGAAGGGACCTCCGAGATCATTTAATCCAACCTCCCTGTCACGGGCAGGGACGCCTCTCGAATAGATCAGGCAACACATCGGGACCAAATGGGGATTGAACCCACAACCTCAGTGTTATCTGCACCACAGCACAAAGTGGGAACCTGGAATGGTCCAGTACGGACCAGGAAATTATTTGCCTGGGGAGATCCAGATTTCACTTCCAAGTTATTTCTGCCTTCTACGAAGTTCCCACAGAAGCGACTGAATTACACGTACGCACATTTCTAATCCGTCAATTCTGCAATTAACGTAACCGGCACAGAATGGGCAACAAGTGTGGGAAGACAGTCACTTTCAAAAGCTTGACAGTGGCATGAGGCCACCTCACTTGACAGCAACTCTGCCAGTCATGTAGAAGAAAAACTCCGGCCTTTTCTAGCTGAGATGACACATTTTGGTGCCCCCAGCCCCGCAGGGCTTCAGCACACGCACTGCTGATTGTGGTCTCTGGCACAGACACTTTGGTTAAAGCCAGCCCCCGCAGGGACAGCCCTGTGTCACTTGTGCCTCAATCCCGTTAGCCGGACTTTCCAACTGGCTAAAATGTCAGAGCCCTTTCACGGACAGGAAATCTCTGCACTGATACGCATTTACACATCCCAGCTCTACAACCTCTGTGAAAGAGAAAAATACCTTTGATAAATCCACAGGAACATCAAGGTAATGATCCAAGAAGTTGGAGTTCTGTTCTGGGTCCAACAGCTCTAGGAGGGCTGAGGATGGATCCCCTTGCTATCCTCTTCTTTCCACCTATGGGGAAAAAAATCCAACACTTTAAGTGCTCTAAGAAGTTTCTCACCATAATAAATCCTCACACAAGGTTCTTATATGAAGACTTTCAGAGGGAGCCTTGAGTTTGTTCATGAGCAGCCACTACCAGTCTGTCAATTTTCTGTGCATTCACCCAAGTCCCCCCGGTCCTACCGCGTGAGCACACGCTACACCTGACAAGACTCAGGCCTTTGACAGTGCTGTAGAGGAGGACTACGAAGTCCCAGTTAGTGTACCTACAAGCAAAAATAAGTGAGTTATCATGGATTGGTGCACTGCTACTCATTAAGCCAAGCTATAGCAACAGGCCAGAATACTTATCGCAGTTTGGGAGGACTTTGGGAGGACATAGGCTGGACTTGATGATCTCAGAGGTCTTTTCCAGCCTCAGCAATTCTGCGACTCCACGGCCCTAATACAGAAGTTAAGACGCTCTCCTTCCTCTGGGCAAGGTGCAAAGTGCTGACAGGCAGCCACTCCTCACAGCTCGACCAGGGACCTTTGCCGCCAGGAGGGGCTGCTGGAGGTCGCCTTGTCCAAGCCCTCAGCTCAAGCAGGGCCACCTACCGCCGGCTGCCCAGGCCCACGTCCAAGGCTGCCGTCTTTCAGCAGCGCTCACAGCCTCCCATGGAGAAGTCACTGCTTTTTCTCCCTAAAGAGTATCAACTAGATGGGCATGCAGTTTGTTCCTACAAATCCAACAACACCAACACCCTGAAATAGAAGTGCCACGACCTACAGGTTTCGTTACCTTTCAAATCAAGATACTCATTGGTTACATTACACTGCAACTCACTGTCCAGTTGGTGTTTCCCAGACAAGGCACACGAGGAGGCTAAAAAGGCCTTTATCTATTCTGAATGCCTGCTAGTAAATCCTGTCCTCCCCTGCACCCCCCCAAAGCAGTAGGCTGCCAGTCCTGACTCATCCACTCTCAGTCAGACCACAAATTGACCATAAGCATCTCATTCCTTACAGTTTTGCTTCAGACTTGTTGCAAGAGTGACTCTTCCTAATAATCACAAACCACAGACTAACAGAATGCGTTGGGTCGGAAGAGACCTTTAGAGGGCACCTGCTCCAACCGCCCTGCAGTGAGCAGGGACATCAGAGCCCCTCAGACGGGCAAGAGTGGGTTTGTGGGCAGGGAGCACAAAAGCTGCTGAAGCCTCTGCATTTCCAGCCAGCTCCACTAGGATCTTCACGATCCACAGAACTGCCACTTCATGAGATGGGTACAAATGAAATTATTAAAGTTGAAGTCAACTGACTTCAAACAAAGGGTCTAATGCATCAGTGTCACCCAAAGAATTTGAAAGCCCAGCCTCATTTAAATAAAATGAGAGTTACTGCTTCGCCTTTCCTAACCGGGACACGAATTGACACGTTTTTAAGAGTGAAAACTGGAAGAAAGACCAAATACATCACCTCATCGATTAGTATAAGTGGATTCTCTGTCTTGGTCTTCTTCAGACACTGGATGATTTTTCCCGGCATTGCTCCAACATACGTCCTCCTGTTTTACCAGAGACTGTGTTTAGGGAACTTGTGAAGCACAAAACATCGCATGCAGCTGCTGGGACAGGTACATCCTGCTGGGAAACAAGTCTGTAGATCTTCTACAACTATCAAAAGCGTCCTCCATCGCCATGCTAAGTACCAAGACCCCTCTAATCTGTTTCCAGTAGAGCTCAGACATGAATTTTGGCAGAATACTCCTAGACTAGTTTTTATCTTTAGTTTTAATCACTTTTAAATGAAAAGGAAGCAAAGAGGTAAGGCTGAGAACAAAGGCATTTGAATAATGACTTCCTGCGTTTTCGGTAATGAAAGGGGAAGATTTCGTTCCCTCACTTGATGGGACAAAAATGAAAGATCAATGTAACCCAAAAGCTACACTGAAGGAACAAATTGCTTGTAGCAAAAGTTTTTCTTCTAGAGGGAACTGGCACCCAGGAACACGCAGAAGCTGAGCAAGAGGGTAACAACAGAGTGAGTGCCAAGAGGCACAGAGCAGAGAATATCCTGAAAAGTATATCTGTTATTTCGCTCGGTTTCTCTCTCATATAAGGCAGAGCCTTGCAGGTTCAAGTCACCCTACTCTTTCCTAGTTTGAAAACACCACCAGTTTTGTCTTCAGGTGTTATGTGGAAGAAAAATAAAGTCACCATAGTGTCAGATCTACTGATCTTTCTATTCACACCTTGTTCTCTTCATATTCTTGTTGCCAAGTTTTCCTCAGGCTGTACCTCCCCAGTTACTCAGAAACCAAGTCTCAATCACAGCTGAGCAGGGGAAGAACCTCGTGCAAACTGTCACCGTTCTCCAGTGCTGGCAGACAGGAGTTAGCACTCCGCACCAGTCAGATGCTTGCGGGCGGCTCACAGAGCATTTTAAAGCCCTCCCACAGGCTCCAGGAGCAGCAGGGAGTGACTGCGCTTAAAGGCACAAACAGGACTATGTTCCAAACTCAGCCTGTGCACCTCTCCCTACATCCCAGCTCCTGTCAGCAGGGGTTGGCCCAACAGAGACAAAAATTACACGCACGGTCCCACTTCAGTTGGATTCCTATTTTGACAACGTTAGTAAGAACTGCTGGAGAGAGAAACTGCTCGAGTGGCACTGACCTGTGTCCTTTAATTTCTGCTACATCAGTCATGCCGCCCACGCTGAAGCGGAAGTACTCTCTGTTCAGGGCTCTGGCAATGGAGCGGGCGATGCTGGTTTTGCCGACCCCGGGGGGGCCGTAGAAACACAGGATCTTCCCCTGGGTGGATCCTCGCAGCTGGCTGACCGCTATGAACTCCTGCAGAACAGATGAAGCCCTGGTAGTGAACGGCAGCGACTGCAGCAACACCAAAATGTATTTGTTATCGGGTCAAGCAACGATTACAAAACAAGCACCGTACACAAAACAGAGAGGAGGGAAGGAGAGCAATGGGAGAAGCTCAGAAGGGATACTGCTGCCTCTCTTCTCTCTCAGGTATTTACACACCTGGTTGTCCCTGGGATTTGAGCTCCAGACTCATCTCAGCAGGAGAAGCAGTCTGTCTGTCTCTCTCTCTCTCCCCCCTCACTGTCCTGGAGAGGGCAGACACACTTCTAGTTCTTCTCCCAGCTTCCCTAGTTCTAACCTGAGTCTCTCAAGCTACATGTGTGCATCTCCTACTCGTCTTTGCTAAGTTAAACCTCCATCTTTTCACACTCCTATGCTTGACAACTCTCAAATAACACTCAGCACTTGAGAAAGCAAAAATCTCAGTTCAGACCTGAAGTCTCCAAGTGCTCACATGCTCACTGTGCAAGTTGGCACAGAGGTGTGGTTCCCCTCTAACAAGCCAAATAACAAGCCAAATATTTGCTAAATAACAGCAAAGATGAGCCTTGATCTCCTCACCCTACAGCACTAAACTTTGAAGTGATACTATCTAAGGCCAACAGCACCAATCTAATTAGGGCTCAAACCTGTAACTAGTTCTCAGCACCTTAAAATCACCAACCTGGCTTGCACTGCTACAGCTGGGAACCCTCTTTGCCTGGAATGAATCACACCAATAATCTAAGCCACAGGCCTGCATGATGCAGCTCCATCTATTTATGTATAAAGGCTGGGGCCAGTCAGCACAAATAGGGCTGACAAACAAAATAAGAGACTGATTCTCAAAAGGCTTCCAGGTGTGCCACAACAGGCTTACCAGAAATCATTGGATTTATCAGACAGTGGGATTTAGTCCTAAGTCTTGGGCACTACGGGGGAAAGAAGCCCCCTCTGGCGAGGGGATACTTCACAACCTTTATCTTTTTCCAGAAGAGTTTGGAACAATGCAAGTTAATAAAAGTAGAATCTCAGGATGTGTAAGAATTTACTACTCATTGTATACGATGACACCATAGCGCCCGCTTAGGAGATGCCTCCCCGGCTTCTGTGCACAATTCCTGAGGTGGGCTCCATCCCACCAGTGATGTCCTTGAGGTAACACAAAGCTCTGCTACAGCACGTGGGGACAGTAAGAGCAGCTGCCTTACTACACTCTTTGGAAGGAAACAGCCACAGTGAAGGCTTCCTACCCTCAACGGCTTCACCAAATGTGCTAAGCTCCCATCCCAGTTTGTTAATGCAAAGGCAGGATCTGCACCGTCCCCCCTCCACGGGGCACTTCCACGTGCTGGCCCAGCATGATGGAAACCCTCCCAGCACCGGGACTGTTTGTCTCTGCCTGCATGTGTCGGATGAGCCTATTCCTGGCCCCTGCAGTTCCCACAGCAAGCGGCTGAAGTGACTGCAACCTGTTGCAAGTATCAACCTTTATCTAAAACAGCTTCCCTAACAGCAGCAAGCACAGCTGGGACGTCACCAGGCAAGTGACAGAAGCTGTAGAAGAAGACAACACTGAAAACCACCCTGGTCGCTTCTGGCGAGGGCTGTGTTGCCCAGCCTGCAAACCCTTCAGCACCCCACACAAGTCTGGGGATAGGTAAAGGCTGTGAGGCCAGCACACACCTTAGCTAACTTACCCCCCCTTAAATCCAGACTTAGGAGCAGAGGTTCAGTGTGTTTTGGAAAGGCAGGAGCTCTTCCAGTCAAGCAGAACCATTTTAACAGTCTCTGAACAAACCAAGACTGCTTCCCTTGGACACTCACTTACTTGCTCAGCATTAAATAGCAAAACAATATATTGCTGCTCAAAATCAGACTATGACCTTAATTGCCACATGTAATTAAACACACTAACGATGACCAGAACATTCTGTTCTTTCATGCAGCTTTCTGTTTGAGCCATGAATTATCACAAATTCAACGGAGAGCTGCAACTTGAAACACATCCAAAATGCCTGATGCTAAGCAGGGTGTGAAATGGGACACGCCGGCTACTCTTGCCTTACCAGAATTCGCTTCTTGACATCATCCATTCCATAATGATCCTCCTCCAGAACTGCTCGGGCTCTGCTCAGCTCCAGGTTCTCCTCACTACACTTACCCCAGGGGATGGATGTCAGCCAGTCCAAGTAGTTCCGTGTAACACTGACAAACACACAAATGAGAGTGGTTTGATGACAACCAGCTCATGCCTTCCTCTGCTGCCCTCCAAAACAACCTCCTCCAGCACAGGGATATAAACTACCCGTGGAAGGGCAACTATGAAAAGAACATAATTACCTGGCCAGTTGTTGTTAACCTTTCGTTCCCTTGTCCCCTACCTCAAGGCTTTTTTCCCCAAAGCTTTTGCTTTCCTGAGACAAAAAACCCCAACATAAACTCCCAGTAGGATATTTCGGGGTGGGGCTGGTTTCTGTCTGAAGATGAGCAGGACTCTTTGTAAACTCTGCACAACTGACAACTGTTTGGATCAGGTCATGAAACTTAAAAGACAGAAAAGCATTTTCTGCATTTCTCCAGTGGACCGAGACAATGGAAGAAGAGAGATTCCTGGCTTACAAGCAAGGAAACCCAGCTGGGTGTACCAAACAACAGAGAAGACTGGGAGAATATTAGTGCAGAAGCTAATGGCAGAGATTATCAGTCTAAGTAGACTCCTACTGAGGAGAACATAAGCGTGTACCAGCAGCACTCATCTGTCCTAAAACCCTGCACGCTCCGATCAGGGATTCACACGTGCAGGGAGCTCTGCAGGGTGCAGTAAACAGTAAGTTGTGTGCAGCCACCAACACAAGAGGTGCAGCCTCCCCGTGCTTGGCTGGCTGGCCCCAGGATTCACTCTGTGGCAATCGCCGCACCGACAGAGTTTGGCTCCTGTCTCCCAGGCACAGGCTTTGCAAACTTCCTACCAGGGTTATCACCCCGAGGGAAAGGGACTAGGTCAGCTGTGAAGACATGTCAGCGACACGGACAGTGGCACTGAGCGCACCCTCAGCAAGTTTGCTGACAACACCCAGCTGTGTGGGGCGGCTGACACGCTGGAGGGCAGGGATGCCATCCAGAGGGACCTCGACGGGCTGGAGAGGTGGGCCCAGGCCAACCTCATGCAGTTCAACAAGTCCAAGTGCAAGGTCCTCCATCTGGGTCTTCTGTCATTCTTCCAACTAACCCTGAGGGCAGAGGACACAGCCATGCACTCACTTGAACTCTGAGGAGTGATTATCCAGCAAGCCCAACTTGTTCAACTCTTCATCAATCACATCCATGACGTGTTTTGGCACTACCAGCTCCTTGAGTCGCTCACGGAATTTCTCTTCTATCGCATCCTTGTCCTCTTTTTCCAGACCTAGCTCTTTCTTAATGATCTTCAACTGCTCTTGGAGAAGATATTTGCGATGCGTTTGCTTGATCTTCTCCTCAACCTAGACAAAGCACCAAACACAGTAACCATTCTGTTCCTGGTACAACCCAGCAAACATCAAATGCTCCCAAGTACTTCTCAGTTATTACCTTCTCACCAACTGAAGATCACCCTTGGAGATCATTTGCAGCATGTCATAACACAAAAAAAGTGACTCCATGACATACTCCAGCCCCCTCCACATCTCAGTGGCCTCCACTGGCCATGACTCTGTACATCAGTGGGGTTTTTTTTGCTGGGGTGATCAAAAGCCGGACAGAGTAAGCTGACGTGATCTCCCTAGTGCCAAACAGGGGAATAACCACTTCTCTCGACCTGCTGTCCACGGAACCGCAAACAGAGCCCAGTACGCTGTCGGCCTTCCGTGCCACAGGGACAGACTGGTAATTTATGGTCCCCTTCCTGGACACCAGGGCCTCCCAGTCCCGTTCTGCAAAGCTATTTTCTGTCTCGTTGGCAGAGAGCCTGTCCTGTTGCACAGGGTTATGACGTGGGACTACAGATTTCTATTTGCTGAACTTGAGAGGGTTGTACCGACTCCCTGAGGGACACCACTAGTAACCAGCTGTCGTTACAGTGATCACAGCCCTTTCTGCCCAGTAGTCTCGCCAATTTTTTCACCCAGTGTGTACTACATCCTTCCAGTCTGTAACATCCCAGTTTGGTCACAGGAATCCTACGGCTGACCGCAGCAGGGGCCTTGCTAAGTCAAGGCAGATGGTGGTCAGCGTTCTCCCTTTGTGCTCTAGGCCTTCTTACCAGAGAAGGGAATCAGGCTGATGAGGCAGAGTTTGCTCTTGGAAAATCCCTTTTGGCTTTTCCACATCACATCCTCCTTCATTCGCCTGTACAGGGCTTCCAGGAGGATTTTCCCCGTAATCTTCATGGGGACTGAGGGCAGGCTGACATGTCTGTAGTCTTGCCAGTCTCTTTCTCAAAAATGGGCACGGCACTTGGCAGGAACCTCCCCAGTCACCACAACGATTTAAAGATGACTGAGACAACACAATAGTGGCACTGATAAGCCCTCTGAGCACCCTTGGATGCATCCCACCTGCTCCCACAGACTGCACGTATCAAATTTGCTTACGAAGTCTCCAACAATCCCTGCCCCAGTCCAAAACCATTTTGCGCTGAACGTGAATTTTTAAAAGCCCCAATTACTGGGAGTTAATAAAGCCAGGAACTTCTGATTCCATACACACAAATCTTTGTACTTCATTACCAACAGATGGTACTTAGTTTCCATTTTGATGCAGTTACTGTATTTTGATTAAAATTCACAACAGTCAGCAACTATTGCAGTTCACAGTGGTTGGCAGAGGGTCTTTTGAAATAATGTGCTATTTACGCTACTATCATAGAATCATAGAATTGTTCAGGTTGGAAAAGCCCTTTAAGATGATGTGCTATATACAGTATCGTGCCGTATATTTTTTACGCAGATGCTTGGTGAACTGTAGTTCTCTAGGATTTACCTGCTTGCAAGAAACTACAACTTGGGCACAATTTAACAGCAGATGCCGCAGCTTCACGTCTTGTTACTTTTACCACAAAACTGCATTTCTAAGGGAAGAAGAATATCAAACCTTAACTCTAAAACAATCTCCCTTTAGAGTATCTACCACTGCCATGCTTTAAAATTCCTCACTGGCTGTGCCAAGCGTCACAGTGGTGGGTGTGACATAAATATATGGAAGGCATGTGTCACCTGACAAACCTACCTCCCTTCCAAGCCGCTGCTGAAGTTTGCTCAGCTCGTATTCCTTCTTTAGAAGGGAGAGGGCTTTGTAAAGCCGTTTGGGAATCTGGAAAAAAAGACAGACACAAAATTAGTTTTCAGACGCAATAATCCTGCCAAGCCCCAGTGAGAAAGGGAAAAGAAAAGCACCAACAGGTTGATGACAGGTGTCAGAGATACTTTTGATTCAGCCAGCACAGCTTTAGTTAAAAGCTTCCTCTTACATTGGTTTCTTCCAAGATGTCTTGAAGTTCTTGCGACTCTGCCCCCGTCAGTGCCGCACCCATGTCACTCAGATAGATGGGGTTATCTACCACACGTTGTCCAGCCTGCATCATCTGAAGTACAGACTCTCTGAAAAAATGGTAATAAACCCCAAGATGCTCTGTAAACTTTTATATTTCTAAGAGAGTATCCTTAGAGAGTCATTTCCTTATTACAACAGAGTAAAGAAATGAAACACAGCTCAGTTTCATAGCAAAATAACTCCTTTTTTAAACACGACTAAGCCAACACTCAGTAACAAAGACATCACTTGGTAAAAGGAATTATCACTAATATATAAAACTGAATATATTAAATGCTCTTCTAACACTTAAGTAAAATTCTGGTGTGCCAGTAGGCCAAGTCTCTTACCGTGCTCATCATACAAGGATCAGACCATGATACTTATTGCAGTGAGCTTCACTTTGACCCAGATCACCCACCACAGGACTTACTGTCCTACCACTTGTCTAAGTTCCACACCAGGTTTTCAAAACTTCCCCTCTTTTTCCAGCAATGGATGATAAAGCTCACACCCCAAACCAAAATTCTAAGCGACAGTTCAGCAAATATCTCTTCGTTACACCAAGAGCACAAGTGGAATAAAAAAATCTGCAGATTTTTTTCTGAGAACCTGCTGTTTCCAAAGCAGGGCAGTGCAGGAAACACGTACCTGTACAGAGGGTTCAAGGCAATGATGTCCCGGATTGTTTTGACAATTTCTGCAGTAAGCGCCTATTAACAAAGGAAAAATTAATAAATTTCACCCACAAAAAGACTGGACGAGGACAGGGCCTCAGTACAAATACACCATCCCCCATCCTCTCCACTGCAGAAACAGCCCCTGGATGTGCTGGCAGAGACACAGAATCACAGAATCATTAAAATTGGAAAAGACTTCTAAGATCATCAAATTCAACTGTCAACTCAACACCACCAGGACCACTAAACTATGGCCCCAAGTGCCATGTCTGCGTGTTTCTCATAGAATCGTTCAGGTTGGAAAAGCCCCTTGGGATCATCGAGTCCAACCAGGAACCCTACTCTACAGAGCTCACCCCTAAACCATCTCCCCCAACCCCACATCCCAACGGCCTTGAAACACCCCCAGGGGGGGGCCCTCACCCCTCCCCCTGGCCAGCCTGTGCCAAGCTCTGACCACTCTTCCTGTGAAAAGGTTTTTCCTAATGTCCAGTCTAACCCTCCCCTTTCAGGTCGCTCTTCACAAGATTTATTCTCCAGGCCCTTCCCCAGCTCTGTCGCCCTCCTCTGTACTCGCTCCAGCCCCTCGAGATCTCTCTTGGATTGAGGGGCCCAAAACCGGACACAACACTCAAAGTGAGGTGTCCCCAGGGCCGAGCACAGGGGAACAATGCCCTTCCTGCTCCTGCTGGTCACACTATTGCTAATACCAGCCAGGATGTTGTTGGCCTTCTTGGCCACCTGGGCACCCTGCCGGGCCAGCTTTAGCTGCTTGTCAGTGAGAGACTCAGGCCCCTTTCTGCCAGACAGCTTTCCAGCCACACTGCCCCAGGCCCTGACCGCTTCCAGGGAGGGCAACTCCACCACTTCCCTGGGCAGCCTGTTCCACTGCTTCACCACTTTTTCAGTGAAGAAATTCTTCCTAATATCTAATTTAAACCCGGTGCAAGTTGAGGACTCGATGTCGGGGCAGTTACTCCTGCCGGGAGGCAAGGACAGCCAAGCAGGGCTATGGGCTGGCTTCCTGCAAGCACAAGATTTCCCTGGTTTTCAGCCAGAACATACAATCAAGTTGGCTCCTCAAGGCCCACTGGAGCAAAGGCTCACTTTGAGAGAGGGTAGTACACAGATTTAAGCACAGCCCAATTCCTTCAGCAACTTTCTGAAGTGACCAGTTCTAAAGAATCAAGCTGGTGAAAAGAAATGTCATTATTTTTGTATAATCTCTTCACACAGTGACTGTGAGAAGGATGAACTGGTTTCTGAAGCCTGAAATAAAAGCTTGATTTTAGAACTCTTCCTTTTAAGCAAGAAATGCAGGTGCATCTCTACAGGGTTAGTCCAGGCTGGGATGATTAGACTAATTCACTCACTTTAACCTCTTCTGTGATCTGAAAATCTTCATGAACCACGTTCTCTACTTCTACCATGAGAACTTCCTGCGAGGGAGCAGTTACAGGATCTAGGACCACTTCCACAGCTTGGTCTTTTGCTCCAGGTTCCTCTTCAGCCTCTTTCCTAGAGCGCTTCTGTTTCCTTCTCATTTTCTGTTTGTTCTCGGGCTCCTCAGGCTCAACCTCTAGTTGCTTGTTTATACGAATCCTGAAAGCCAAAAGAAAGGAGCTACAATCAAATCCCCTCTGTGATATAAGCTCTTCAGAACAAAAGAGTCCAAGCTGTGTTCTAAGTGAACTAAGATTTCAGACTTTGGCAAAGATGACAGGCTGTACGTGTTTTGACAAGGTCTAGCTTTTGGTTCATTTTGTCAAAATAAGGCTTGGTTTAGTAAATCAGGTGGCAGATACTGACAGGAATTACTAAATAAATTCACAGTAGGCAAGGTGCCATAAAAAACCACGTTAACTGATCAATTAATTAGACTATTGGTGTGTGGATGAGAGGCTGAGGGCAGCTTACAGCACCTTTACCATAAACCGTGTTAGCTTGAACAAGTTTCAGAATTAGAAAAACAGATCTGTAATTATTAAAAGAAAAACAATCCCAGCAACACTGGTGACCATACAGAAAGCTCAGTATCACAGACTGTCAGACTCCTCAGTGACAATTTGCAGCACATGAACAGAACAATTAACTAGGCATCATCGTTACTGTGTCTGCTCAGGAGCCAGTTTCTCTGGCTACATGAACCTGACGTGGATTCAATCCCTCATCTTGTCTCTCCTGAAAAGCAAGTTCACTGCTTCACTCCAATTCTGCTTTTTCAGTTTTCTGATTCTCGACAATCAGTCTCTCTGCTTTAAATCACATCTGCTGCTTTATCTACTGTAACACTAAACATTACACACCATGTGTAAAATGCACCTTGAAGCCATTCCACACCTGGGCATTTTAAATTTCAGTCTATTCCACAAAGAGATTTCCCAGATTATCATTTTGAAAGAGATGAAACCCACCATACATTCCGCAAAAATTAATTATTAATCCACGAAAAGAACAGGCTGCATCACAGGAGACAATCACTCTCCAGAAAATTAGTTCCCTGTTACTGTTTTTAAACTCTTCTGAACTTTGCCTGCTGTGCATACAACCCCATGGCCACTCTTGCAGGACACGACATTTCATTCCTTTTTGGCTGCTGACGTAAGAGTTTCAGTTTCGATAATTTTCCCTGTAAATGCAGCACGCTCCTCAGATCTGACATCCTGGGTGGTTCCTACAGACACGACTGACCAGTGCTCCGTGTCTCAATCAAATAAATAAAGACCGATTCCCAACACCTTCTAAATTATAGGGAAATATTTCTATTCCAAGTAAATCCAGCCCAATAGCTGCCTATTTCCAATATCTAATCAAACAGCGTTGTTTGCTTTGATAATGCACCAAGAGGTCTACGGCTTCCTTTGGAAAGGAGTTGACTTGCAAATTCAGCTTAGAGAGGTACTGCCCGCTCTTTGCTGTCCCAAACAAATGCAAAGCAAGTGGGAGGAAAAAAAGCAATGCTTCAAACCCCAGCCTGAATCTGTCTTCCTCTTTCATCCTTATATTTCCCCCTCCAACAGAAATTAATTATTTGACGTTTTAATATCACAATTTTATATTGTCTTAGCTTAAAAAAAAACCCCAAAATACTGGCCTGAATTACTTCCAGGATATTTTTTTCACCATTAGTAAATCTTGCTGTACTTGTCAAAGGAACTGCTAAACTTCAGCTTACTGAATGCTTGTTTGCATCACAGCATAATCCGTAAGAGAATGACCTGTGCTAGCTTTTCCTTTTGGCAGCTAAACTCTCGCACCTGTAATAGCACACAGAACCTTGGGGCTGGAGTCCCAGAGCACCGTCAGGATATCACAGAATGTTGGGGGTTGGAAGGGACCTCTAAAGATCATCCAGTGCAACCCCCCTGCCAGAGCAGGGTCACCCAGGGCAGCCCCACAGGAACACGTCCAGGCAGGTTGGAAAGTCTCCAGAGCAGGAGACTCCACACCCTCTCTGGGCAGCCTGGGCCAGGGCTCCGGCACCCGCACAGCCAACAAGTGTTTTCTAACGTTTTTGTGGAACCTCCTGTGCTCCAGCTTCACCTGTTGCCCCTTGTCCTGTCACTGGACATCCCTGAGCAGAGCCTGGCTCTGTCCTCCTGACACTCACCCTTTCCATATTTATACACAGTAATGAGGTCACCCCTCAGTCTTCCTCAGGCTGAACAGCCCCAGCTCCTTCAGCCTTTCCTCCCCAGGGAGATGTTCCATCCCTCCATCATCCCTGGGGCTGCGCTGGACTCTCTCCAGCAGTTCCCTGTCCTTTGTGAACCGAGAGGCCCAGAACTGGACCAAATATTCCAGATGTGGCCTCACCAGGGCAGAGCAGAGGGGGAGGAGAACCACTCTGGACTTACTAGCCACTCCCTTTTAATCCACCCCAGGATGCTGTGGTAACAAAACAAGCACTTGTTATACACACGTATGCATAAACGTGGTGAAAACAGTAACGGGATATATATATTTGATATATCTGGTAGCCTGGCAAGATGCAGCAGCAGCACAAGCAACTACCTTCGGTGTCCCATGACTATCATACGCAACTTGTCTCCAAGGTCCTGCATCTCATGAATCTGTACAAAAGTTCCCATCTGGTAGATTTCGTTCAGATCCTCCACCACATCTGATTCGTTGCTGTTGAGGGGAAAAAAAAGAAAAAATGGAGCAGCTACTCCGAATCTCGAGAAAACGGTTAACATTCAAAAAGAACAATCACTGCTTGAAGAGTTTTAAACTGGACTCAGGAGCAAAGACATTTTGCTTATCCCTGCTAGTACCACCATGTAGCCCCTTTCCAAATCATCCAACCACCTGGATGGTTCACCTCCCTCCCACGTAACCACAGCTCTTCTACAGCAAGGCTCAAGCTCCCAGCAACGCTGGCAATGAAAACTGGCAGAGCTAGAGGATGGTCCGAGCCTATTCACAATTTCTGTAATAGCACCCAAGGCAGGCATTTTCAGATCGTAGCTTTTAGCGTAAACACAGCCTAGTCATGGAAATATATTATTTTTATATCTTTAAAAAAGATCACGAGGAACAACTTACTTATCATCCTTTTTAAGAAAAACACCAGCATAAGGCTGGGCAAGACGAACTTTCCTCCTCAGCAGCTCAACCAGCTTCTTATTTTTTACCTAGGACAACAACAAGCACGAAGTCAGAGGGGGATTTCCTGCAGGCTTTGCACCCTCGGTGTGTAAGGTCAGGCATGGGGAAACCCTACAACAGAATTATGAAGTCCAGTCTCAGATTTTTCTAATCTTACCCTCATGAGGGGACAGTAATATGGAAGTGGAAGAATGTTAGAGAAACATGAAATCTGAGTATTTAAAACCAGTCACTGAGTACAAAGGACAAGTCTGAAAGCAGGAGGAGAACCTAGGCCTAAGCTGTGCAAGTTTTATGAGCAAGAAACCTCTCAGTCACTTCGATAACGCTTTGTACGACTTGCTGCCACTGCTCCCTTGCCCTTCCACACCTGTATGTTCTCAGCTCTCCACTCCTGCAGGGCAGCCAGGCCAATCTTCCCCACTGACAGCCTGAATCCTGCCTGCCCACCTCCTCTTCTCCAAAGGCTCCACTCAACTCTTCTCCTACACTCCTCAGCCCATCCGAGTCCCTGCTCCGAGTCCCAGCCTGCATTTCCTCCTCTTTTACTTCCTGACCCCTCTCTGCTCTCCTGGCGGATCTCACACCACCGCAGCCACTGGTGCCACAGCACGCCGAACCCGCAGTGACAGAGAAAATCCCTCCTTGTGGATTTTGTAGTTCCATGAAGCGACGCCGCCGACCCCTGGGTGTTCTTTCACAGCGATGGACATAAGCTGCATCGCTCAGCGCTTTGACAAGAAAGAGCACGGTCCTGTCAGAGCAGCATGGGCAACACCACCGCTGTCAGCCTGCTCTACCCTTGGCACACCTACTTCAGCTTTGCACGATGTCTAGCAGCGTCACAGACATTAACTGAAAGAAGAAAACTAGTAATTCTGTATTCTGTAGGGATTTCCCATTGTCAGGAAATAAAGTACTAAAGGGCAGCACAATGAATTCACAGGATTAGAAGGAGCATTTAACATTGCTGTCCTATGCACTGAAACGAATGACTTATACATCAAAGTATCACAGAATTGAGTGCCTAAAGATTGTTGTAATATATAATCTCCTTCCCTCGACACATCTGTAAAGACCCTAAAAGTTGCACATATTAGATTTCGAAATGCAGAAAAATACTACAGTAGAAATAACACTACTAGAAAAAACGCTACAGGAAAGGGAAAGTATTGATTCAGTTCTTGTTGCATTCACTCAAAAATGAGATGAGTGAGGTGCAAAAAATAGGAGCACTTGTTCCAAGAGTTGCATTTCAGGAAAGAAAAGTACTTCTGGCCTGTGAGCTCAAGTCACATATAAAGACCGCATTTATGGCTCTTAAAAACACACAGAGGGCTGCAGAGGGCAAAGACGACCCTCTGAAATTTTGGGATGACCGCCCCCATCTCTCGGCACCCTCTCCCACCGCAGCCGGGTG